CTGTTTTAAAAGGTGTGTAAAGTATATGTAGTTATAATTAAAAGATTCAATTAATAATTAATATAATTCATATCTATCATAGGTCTTACAAATTATTCTATAAAAAATAATGATGATGAAATGTATAGTGACGCTTGTTATCATTTTTTTTGTGGAATGTTATTCGAATCATGGAAATCACGTAGCATGCCTATATAGATCATGTAGGATTTGCTTGGAATGCATGTATTTTTTTTGTAGAAGTATGCCATTTTTTAAAGACAAATCCCACTACGTGTAATGAAAATAAATTTGGAATATCCTGGCAGTTATGTGATGATTTTATTTACTTAGGATTAACCTTAATTCTATTAATTCAACATTGGCCAAATTTTTATTCGGATTATCCTTTATGCCTATGGATCATTTCTACTGCCTTTTTTGAACACATATTTGGTTATGCACAACGAATTATTAAAGATTTTACCGTGCTGGATTTCTTATCAATGAATGAAAAATTTTTAAAGAATATTATGATTGAAATGAAAGGTTAGTAACTTAACTAAGATTTTTATTGATAATTTAAAATAATATATATATGTAATTTTGTAGGTGACTTGATTAGGCCAGATAACAATGATGGATATAATATTAAATTATCTACAGCTAAAGAAAATTTACCAAAAAATTTAATTGAATTTCCATCAATTTTTGGTATTGATAGTATGATGGAAAAGGTATGCATATAGTATATCATTCTTTTATTATTTATCATTATTAATATTAATTATTGTTATATATTTATACTGAAACCTTAGACTTCAAATGCTATGAAAATTATACTTTGCAGTCTTGGAATATTAATAAATAAGGAAAAATTTTCAGCATTAATTCAAAAATCCTTACATTCACTTAAAAAAAGAAACAATCGTAATATACTTTTAGAAGAAACAATTGATTCCGATAATAAATTTGATATGATTTCTGGAGACTCAGAATTAACTTTAAACGAAATAGATAATGAATGTGATGTTAGCAAATTATTAACGCAACATCAACAACGATTATTAAGTAGATCTAAATTAACTGAAGATTTTGACTTTTCTAATGATAATTTAGATAAAATGGCTAGTGGAAATACTCAAATAACTTCAGAATTAGTATTTAAGACGATTTTTTTGAAAAAATCAACAAAAGTTTTAGGAAATCTTGTGAATTAAATCCATTAACTATAATGCAAATTATGTCAGATTATTAAGGTAATTTAAATATGATTATTTTATTATTCTTTTATTTATTACTTTTTCATTTTTATATGATATTTATTTGAATTTAGAAAAATATGATTATTATACTCAAAAGGAGAAAAAAAAATTGGAAATAAAGTCACATCTAATGAAAAAAATATCAAAGTAGTAACTGAATTAGGCAAAATTGATATTATGATTGCTGTTCAGCAGGATAGATTAAGTAATAGTATGCAACAAATAAGAACAAAAGGGCGAATTACACGATGGAAAACAGCATGCAAGAAAGTCTTTGATTCTACTAAAATAAATCCACAATCTTTTAAATTTAAAAAAGGAGATTTTTATTATTACTGTGAAAATAATTATTCTATTGTAATCGCTGAGATTATCACAGTATTTGAAGTAAATTATTTAAATTCATTGAATTTATTATAATTATTATTTTTAATTTATTAATCTTTATATTATTTAAGAAACGTGGATCAAGTTATGTTCATATAGACTTATTAACAGGCTTAAATGAGGGAAAGATCCATGCGCGTTTATATAATGTTAAGTCAGATTCAGCATGTGAATTTACTCCTATTATAAACCAAAATCGCACACAATTCATATGTGAATTTAGCTCATTTCGTTTTGTTGCACATTTGGGTTCTGTATCAGAAGAATATCACAGAGCTTCTCACTGGTTAGGAAAAATGATAAAATTGGGTGATCTTCAATATGCAACATATTTTCATTTTGTTGAAAAATCTTGTGAACTTGAGCAATCCATTAAAGAGGCGAAAAAAATTATGCGGACAAAAAAAAAATTAATTCTAATGATAATGAATAATTGTAAAAGGATTCATTTTTATTAAAACTTTATTGTATGATACATTTGATTTATCAATAAACTTTTATCATACATTGCTTTGATGAATTCAATTTTTGTCTGTACACTTTATTAGAATATAAAGATTACATTTAAACTTATGTAGTACATTAAAAAGTAAATTTAAGGTTTGTGTACACTCTTATATTAAAATTTGAATGTATACTAATATGAACACTAAAGACAAAGGTTTATATATACGCCATACTAGCATTCAGGGGTCCTGATAAAACATCATGAGTTCATATACACGAATTTTGGAAGATCTTCAACAAAAAGAACCCTTAAACCCAACAGTAATATTACCTTTTTATCAACCAAGTGATGCAACGCCTCAACAAATAAGTTCTTTAATGTGATAACTTAGAAGAGCTAGGAGTTTAAGAAATCAAATAGAAACCTTAATGATTCTCTGGTACTTAAGAGAAATAATTGAAACTAAAACAGTGACTCCAACAGAAAGAAATCAATGTATAAGTCTCCTTACAGCTTATTATCAAAAAGCAGCGTTACAAGTATATTATTTTTTTGAAATGATTAGGATAGAATAAATACTAAGAACTAAATATGTATCGGTTAGAATACTCTCTCGTTTAAGCCGATCACAATACTACCAACTTATACAAGAAGCTAGTATCGTCACTGAAGCTCAGATATTGGAGGAGGAAGTTATTAGTGATAGTCTTGTTATGACACACGATACTGCACCTAACTTAATTGACAAATGGTAATTATGTCGATCACAAATCTCAACTTTCTACTATTTCTCAGATATCTCAAATTTCACTAATTTCTTAGCAATTTCCAATTTCTCTAATTTCACATATTTCTTTAATATATTTAATATCTTTATTTTCTTATATTTCTTATATTCCTTTACTTTTTTAAATATCTATTTCATATTGATGTATTTTATATAAATATCTTGTATTTCTACCTCAATAAATCGCAGAGTCGTTACCAATTCTCTAATAAATCAATAATATTTATCTCTGAAACTTATCTTTGCTTGTTAAACAATTCATTCTTCTTTAAATCTATATCAATAAAGATAACCTGACTCTTCAATATAATTATTCATGTTTATTTCTTCCATAGTTTAGACGTACTTAAACTCTCTGCTAGCAAATAATCTTTGTTAACTTAATAACGAACAGTTTAAGCTTAACAATACTTACTGAAGAAGATAAAAGTTGTGAAAGAGAGGAAATAGAAGTTCAAGAAAAGGAGAATGAAATAGAAGTAATAAATGAAGATATACTTATAAAATCAATGATTAAAAAAGAGTTGGCAAATATCTGTAATTGGTAATGCTAATTAGTATTGAAATTTCAAAGAGGACTGCAAATTTTTTTA